CTTTCTTATCACTATTGTGACCGAGTATTTCATATTATAAAGTATTCTGTATGTTTTGTTCCGTACTATTTTCACATGCAACTGCATAATTATGGTTCAGGAAATATCTGAACCATTGGTGACTTTTAAATAATCCATTTTTGTTTGTTATTGTGTGCTCAAAGATCGGACTGAAAGTGGGTCAACAGGCAATTTTTAAAAACATCTTATCTCGTAAAGTATTTGATTTATCGAACTAATTTCATAAATATGAATTTAAATATCCACAGTTTATGACACAAAAGTTTCAAGGAAATCAGAGATGGTTCAGCAGAAACCCCCTGATGATTTGACAAGGAACAACTCATGAAGGAAACCCTGATTAAGCCACTGATAGTGCCGATCACTGATTTCTGCACACATCACTCACATTCTCCAGCGGGCAGCAGCCCCACTGGCCCGTGACCAGCTTGCAGCAGGTGGTGTGTTCAGGACACTGATGGCCGTCGTCGCACTGCACAGCGCTGAGATCAGCCTGGTCGCTGGTGTCAGCTGGAATCTTGGTGTACCACGGGATCTCCACTTCTCCCCTGATGCACGAGGTCTTACTTTCGTCGCACTTGTACTGGTGAGGACAGCAGTGGCTCCCGTCTGCACAGCACACCGCCTGGAAGGAAGTGAGACGCAGAAGTGCAACTTTCACATCACCCATCTTGTTTTCTAGTTCCTTTTTCGTTGCTGGTGAAAAGGTTAAATTTGGATTCATAAAAAGAGCTGACACAGTGCATTAATTATTCTGTAACTACTGTAACTTTGGCGCGAAGACCAGAAGAAATCACATTGTCTTGAGTGAATGCAGCGTTTAGCCGAAACATTAACAACTGAAATGAGAGAAGAAGTGAAGAAAAAAAGTGTCTCTTTACGCAAATTAGGGATACAAATACATTTATTTTTGGGGCTTGAGAAACACATGACCTTCCCTTGTTTGTAGCACCGTCCCCCACTGCTGAACTTGTGAACATGTGGGTGGGGAGTTTCTTCTAAGAACTTTTAAAAGCCAGAAATCTCAGCTGGTTGACCAGCTGCTGACTTGTCTCTTAAAATGTTAAAATGTACTTTATCATGTGTTGTCTGCAATCAACTGTTTCATCCTTGTAGAACATCTCGTCTCCTCTTCCTGTGTGAGACGGCTGAACAATAGTTTAGCCTCTTGTATATAACCCTTCTTTAGACCTCCAGATCTCGTGCTGTTTCCATAAAGGTGCAGTAGTTTCTGAGAGTTTTAGATTGACCCACAGAGGTTTGCCAAGTCTTAATTTAACAACATAAATATTGTTAAATTAAAGGAATCTATTGTGTTTTTTTTTGGACATCTGTTCTGATGAACATCCCATAAATGAACTGGTCAAAATAAATAGATGCATACATGATAAGAAATGTATAATTTACACTTTATATCTCAGATAAAGCTTCTTGTAACTGCCAAATATGTTCCAGTAGTTCATAATCTGGACATGTTCAGCTCTAACCTTTCCTGGGCACCAACACGGTGGTCTGGACAGAACAGCTGAACCGTTGCATTGCTCTTAACCATCTGACCCACAAAACCTGCCGTGGGTTTAAAAGTCTTTTAAAGAATTACCAAAATGACATAATCTATCAGAGGGAGAAGCTGTAAAAACAGAGAGAATTGTCCGATTTTCAACTGTCCAGCGGTACTTGAATGAATCACATGGTATGTGTTGTTCCATCAGGAAACCAAACCTGTAGCCTACAATACTGATACTTCATCAAAATCACTTTATTTTACATCTCTTTTAAAATCTGGCCAGAAGTAAACTATTTGCTCTAACCAGATTCTTTCCTCAGCACAACTGTGACACCATTCTGGGACTTTCTGGCTGAAATGCAGACGATGTTCACACAGAGGGGTAGGAGACAAGTGTGTTAACAAATTAAAAATGTAACAAGAAATATCTATGGCATGTAGAGTCAAGTTTTGGAGATACACTTCTAAGAGCTTCAACCTTATTTATGATTTATGAATTTATGAGTGTGTCATGCTGCACATGCGTGAGTTCTCATTACTTGTTGCCATGGATGGGCTGTTTCCACAGAGAGGCAGGACTTTACATTGCAGTGAAAAATGAGCTCACCGTGATATTTGCGTGAAACTTGCAGCTTTTCTCTAACTCATTTCATAAAACTAAGCTGTGCAACTGGAACACAACACACTGTGATATTTTATAGACCAAACAAAAAACCACCCCTCATTGATAAGTCGTTGATAGATGAGACATTCGAGGGCGCAGAAGCAGGACTGACCTGAGGCAGCGGGCAGCAGCCCCACCGCTGAGAGGCAGTCATGAAGCAGCAGGTGGTCGAGTCAGGGCAGCTGGTTCGGGCGTCGCACTGAGTCCTGCCCTCTACTTCTTCATTCTCCTCCTCAGGCTCCTCGTTTTCCTCCTCCTGCTCTGTCATCTGGGTTTGACTCACTGTAGTTGGTGCCGCAGTGGAAAATGCAGGAATCTTCTGCGCCATGGGTGATGAGCCTGAGGGGCCATTACAGGTAACCGTGACCGTATCACAGGTGGTGCCCTTGGGGCAGCAGTGCTCGTGGTCGTCGCAACAGACCGCCTTGAACAGACAGAAACACTTTCAGTCACAAACTTTGTTAAGGGACGTCTGCATGCATGAATTCACATGAGAACAGAGCTTTTTCACAGCAGACATTTTGACATGTCATAGCAGGAAATGCACAGGTGTGTTAGTGGTGGCTGCATTCCACTTAGTGGAGGTCGAGCTCCTTTTCATGCTGGTTTACTGTCATGGCTCACTGGGACACTGAAGGGTTTTTCCATCTCAAATCATCAAGGACCTTCTGCTTGACCATCGCTAATTTGCTTACATTTTTGTTATTGTAAAGTACAGATATTTAAAATGGTATCTGTGAAATTTTACCTTTTTAAAAAAGAAATTTTCTTACATTTTCATTTGAGGCTCTTTGAACAATAATAGCTCAGGAACTATTAAAGATAAAAACCTGTAACTTTCCATGTTATTTCTCATCATGTCATTGATTCAGAATCTGCAATATCGGACGAGTAGATCATACAGTCTCTTAATCTAGGTAAGATGAAATATGGAAAAAGAAAATGCTCCATGTTTGAGGACACATTACCAAAAAATTAAAAAATGCAGAAGTCAGCTAGTGATATTTTCTGCCCCACGTGTAGGTGCATGTCACAATAACACAAAACAAAACATATAGAATACTCTTTACGATGAAATACTTGGTCACAAAAACAAAAATCCAACAATTCTCAGTGAAACTGTCAGTTTGTGGCTCTGATAAATGGTGTCATTTAGTCAGTTTTGTGAACACAACATACTTTTCAAACTTGCTGGCAGGTTTTTTTGGCTTCAGAGGGTCAAATTGTTTACAGTTTGCTCCTCAGACCATTTAGTATCTCTGACGTCTGTCAAGAAAAACACTAAAGGAGGTGAGTATTACATCTCTGAGAGCTCTTTGAGTGGTGACCACCACCATTAGACGTTACTGACCTCAGGTAGAGGACAGCAGGCCCATTTTCCTTCTTTAGTTTTACAGCAGGTGGTGTCATCAGGACAACTGGCGGTGGGGTCACAGGGGACATTCTTCACCTGTACGTCCTGCCTGGGGATTGTGGGTACTTTCTTGGCCCACGGCACAGAGCATGTGTCGTCATCGCAGGTCTGTGCTGGCAGGTTACATTTCTTACCTTTTGGACAACAGTGTATGAAGTCTTCACAGCAAACAGCCTGGGACAGACGGCCAGCGGTTACTTATAACACAGTGGAATTACACATTTTAAAAAGGGACTTTTAATAAAAAAGATTTAATAAAAAAGATTTCACTTTACCTCTGGCAGAGGACAGCAGGCCCACTCTCCTTCTTTGGTTTTGCAGCAGGTTGTGCCATCCTCACAGGCTGCTGTCTCATTGCAGGGGACGTCATTGCCTGGAAAAAAACACAAAACAAATCCACACATGTTGCTGAACATTTTGAACAATCACAAATTCCCCAGGCAGAAGAGATCTAATCCATCTTAATGATTAATTTGTGTAAAGTCACTGCTTAACTATTATCAATAACTAAGACTCCATTTCATTAAACTAGTGGGCCAACATTAATGATTTAGGTACCAGTTTCATTTTTGACCACTACTGGAGCTCCAGTATGGAGTAATGTCAGTTGATGGTGTTAATGTAGCAAAAAAAATGCACTGACAAATGTAAGGAAAATGAAGACTGCTGGCAGGAAAACATGAATGAAAACAAAGCAGGACTTTAGGACTGAAACTGACGCTATTATGTGATGATCAATAATCTTATCAGTTTTTTTCAGAATCGTAAATTAATCATTTTGTCTGCAAAATGGCAAAAAAAAATAGAGATAAAACCTGTCTATACATCATGAGAGCACATCTTGACATCACAACATGTGATACTGCAATGAACAAAATCTTCTGCAACCAAACAAGCCTTTTACACCCAAATAAAAGATCTCTTTTATAATGTGACTGTAATTTGTGTGATTTCACGCAGGCCAAGGTCAGCAGGGAAACACTAATGAGCATGTGCAGCGGCTGCATAACGCAGAAGCAAAACCAAAGTTTGGACAACTTTTGGTGGTTCATGCTTCAGATGAACAATTCTCATTCAAGTGAGCAGCCGCCATCTTTGATTTCAGCATCTAGGGCTGCGACTGAAGAAACAGAAAGATAACATCCTATGTTGTTGCCTCAATTTTTATTTCTAGACATCAATAGAAAACGTCTTTAGGTCAAGGAAAGAAGTGAAATCTTAAATGAGGCTACATAATCGTGCCATTACAGATGTTGCTGGCATTATCTCCTTTCTTTTTAGACAGGATGGTGCAGCGTATCCTTTGCTAAAGGAGATGACAAAAGAAGCACTGAAGCACCTTTCTGCAGCATTCAGAGAATTCAGGCAGCTACTGTCACGGCTGCCACTTAAACAATTTCCAGGTCAGTTCAGCAGACCCTATCACACTGCACCTTGGACTTGTTGCATTAGCTGCCACACTGCACAGCACAGCAATATGTAAAAATGATGCCGTGTACTTTGAACGTCTGTGTTTGCTTTTTCGTGTCGGACATGCAAGACCTCGAGGACACATACAATTCATTTAAGTGGAAAAATGTTCAGTGAAAAGTACACATGGTAGCTTCAGTTTTACATCACATTTTAAACCAGGGCTGACCAGAACTATAACATTCGAAAACTACTTTTCAGCCACACTGATGCTTTTGAGCAACAGATCACTAACATGTGATTTACTGTTCACATTACTATTACTGTTTTAAGCAGTCACCAGTCATAGAAAGCTACTAGGCAGAATGCTGCTGCATTTAATTTTAGCTTTGAACAACGTGCACTGCAAGATCAGTTTTTGCCTCGTCATATCAGGAAATACTAAAACTAAGTCATGTTTTGACTGATTTTAACTGAAATGCTNTTTTTTGGAACCAATAGTGATGTGAAATGCATTTGTCCTCCAAAATGATCCAGTTATTCAACAATCTTGAGCATATTTTAATACTTTTATTAAAGGTGTTGTAATGTAATGTAAAGATTTAGAGAATAGATGTGCTATTTTTGCTCTCTTTTTGAATGATGATATTTCATTTCAATTTTACATTTTTTGTCTAGAAGCTGTTGCAGCCAGTAATTAGACCGTTCCTTTATGATTTGGCTGAACAGGTTGGTATTTGCTCTTCCTGACAGGTAAACCAAAGCAGGAGGGATTGTTATTGTCACTGTGTTTCATACGTTAGGTAAAGGGCAGCATCCCCAGGTGGTGGCGGACGTCCTGCAGCAGGTGTCTCCATCTTTGCACTTTGTCTGCTCGTCACACTGGACGTCTCCGTGCTGTAAAGGACGGGGGTTGAGCTCAGGCAGAGAAACTGGAGTCAGCGGGACTATCTCCACCTCCATAGTGAGGAGCTTCTGGCAGGAGTTGGAGGCCATGTTGCAGGTGTAACCCTGCGGGCAGCAGTGCTTCTTATCTGAGCAGCACACAGCCTGCAGACACAGCATGACACCCATCATGTTATATAAAGGTCAGTCCATCTTAAGTCATCAGATTATAGCACAGTTTCAGCTCGACCATCTCTGATTTGCCTCAAGTTTTTATGGTATAAAACACAGATATCATGACATGTTTTTGGATGTATTAAGTATCTTCCAAGATAAGTGAAAACTATGTTATATTGATTTAAAAATAACTTTCTTAGTTATATTTTGAGAACCACTGTAAAACTCCACTTGGATTATTTATTTAGCAATAGTTTCATTTTTCTGGTACAACTTGTCACACCTGCTCAATCAGTTATGAAAGTTCAATAAAAAAAACTTTCTTATCACTATTGTGACCGAGTATTTCATATTATAAAGTATTCTGTATGTTTTGTTCCATACTATTGTCACATGCAACTGCATAATTATGGTTCAGGAAATATCTGAACCATTGGTGACTTTTAAATAATCCATTTTTGTTTGTTATTGTGTGCTCAAAGATCGGACTGAAAGTGGGTCAACAGGCAATTTTTAAAAACATCTTATCTCGTAAAGTATTTGATTTATCGAACTAATTTCATAAATATGAATTTAAATATCCACAGTTTATGACACAAAAGTTTCAAGGAAATCAGAGATGGTTCAGCAGAAACCCCCTGATGATTTGACAAGGAACAACTCATGAAGGAAACCCTGATTAAGCCACTGATAGTGCCGATCACTGATTTCTGCACACATCACTCACATTCTCCAGCGGGCAGCAGCCCCACTGGCCCGTGACCAGCTTGCAGCAGGTGGTGTGTTCAGGACACTGATGGCCGTCGTCGCACTGCACAGCGCTGAGATCAGCCTGGTCGCTGGTGTCAGCTGGAATCTTGGTGTACCACGGGATCTCCACTTCTCCCCTGATGCACGAGGTCTTACTTTCGTCGCACTTGTACTGGTGAGGACAGCAGTGGCTCCCGTCTGCACAACACACCGCCTGGAAGGAAGTGAGACGCAGAAGTGCAACTTTCACATCACCCATCTTGTTTTCTAGTTCCTTTTTCGTTGCTGGTGAAAAGGTTAAATTTGGATTCATAAAAAGAGCTGACACAGTGCATTAATTATTCTGTAACTACTGTAACTTTGGCGCGAAGACCAGAAGAAATCACATTGTCTTGAGTGAATGCAGCGTTTAGCCGAAACATTAACAACTGAAATGAGAGAAGAAGTGAAGAAAAAAAGTGTCTCTTTACGCAAATTAGGGATACAAATACATTTATTTTTGGGGCTTGAGAAACACATGACCTTCCCTTGTTTGTAGCACCGTCCCCCACTGCTGAACTTGTGAACATGTGGGTGGGGAGTTTCTTCTAAGAACTTTTAAAAGCCAGAAATCTCAGCTGGTTGACCAGCTGCTGACTTGTCTCTTAAAATGTTAAAATGTACTTTATCATGTGTTGTCTGCAATCAACTGTTTCATCCTTGTAGAACATCTCGTCTCCTCTTCCTGTGTGAGACGGCTGAACAATAGTTTAGCCTCTTGTATATAACCCTTCTTTAGACCTCCAGATCTCGTGCTGTTTCCATAAAGGTGCAGTAGTTTCTGAGAGTTTTAGATTGACCCACAGAGGTTTGCCAAGTCTTAATTTAACAACATAAATATTGTTAAATTAAAGGAATCTATTGTGTTTTTTTTTGGACATCTGTTCTGATGAACATCCCATAAATGAACTGGTCAAAATAAATAGATGCATACATGATAAGAAATGTATAATTTACACTTTATATCTCACATAAAGCTTCTTGTAACAGCCAAATATGTTCCAGTAGTTCATAATCTGGACATGTTCAGCTCTAACCTTTCCTGGGCACCAACACGGTGGTCTGGACAGAACAGCTGAACCGTTGCATTGCTCTTAACCATCTGACCCACAAAACCTGCCGTGGGTTTAAAAGTCTTTTAAAGAATTACCAAAATGACATAATCTATCAGAGGGAGAAGCTGTAAAAACAGAGAGAATTGTCCGATTTTCAACTGTCCAGCGGTACTTGAATGAATCACATGGTATGTGTTGTTCCATCAGGAAACCAAACCTGTAGCCTACAATACTGATACTTCATCAAAATCACTTTATTTTACATCTCTTTTAAAATCTGGCCAGAAGTAAACTATTTGCTCTAACCAGATTCTTTCCTCAGCACAACTGTGACACCATTCTGGGACTTTCTGGCTGAAATGCAGACGATGTTCACACAGAGGGGTAGGAGACAAGTGTGTT